GAAGTGTTGTCTTAAAATTTTTTAACAAAATTCGAGAAGTTTATTTACTGGTTAGCAACTTATCAGTTTCATAATGCCATACACGTATACCAAGTTCAACAAAGCCTGCCTAAAACATCTCTGTCTTTGATTTCCAATATTTTGCCAAAATTCTAGCATTGACTCATTTTTGGTTTCTCTTTTTGAGAAATCTTGAAACAAAGAGTGCTGGTCGCATAATTGTTTAGTGCATTCAGGTGTCCGGCTTTTTCAAACTCGAATTCGTTTGTTTTGTCGGTGCTAATTAAGTGTTTTTTATTTAAAATGTTCTACGAAATCAGTTCTAAAATTCCTCAAGAAAAAAGACAATTCTCTGTTTATTATTGTGTACGTTAAAGTCACAAGTTTACATCAAAAGCATCGACAAACAGTCATTTAAAACATAACTTTTTTACGCTACATATCGACTGAACGTTTTTATTTGGACGGTAAGGACCAAACGATCAGAATTCAAAAAATAAGTGGCTAAGAATCCATTGCCAATTGATTTCTGCTTAATCGGTCTATTTCGCGTTAAGTGTGTCCTTTATTTCACAAATCTCCAAAGATGAGGCAGAATGACGCTATAAGAAACGAGGGAGGGAAGAAAAGCTACACCGGTCAAAAACTTCTTCAAGCAAAGGAAGAAATTACTAAAGCCGCTATTGATACCACTCAAACTCGCCATACTTTGTTTTCAAAATCTCTGCAATCTTTCAAAGCTTTTTTCAACGGTAACTTTCAGGTTCAGTGATGCTTTCTAACAGTACAATGAAATTATCCACTAAAATTTTTCATTTCCACGTAACCCCAGAAACCCATGACTTTTTAAAAACTTTGACATTTTCAGTTGCTACCTGTACGAAACTCTCTTTCTCCGCTACTAACTGAACATCCTGAGAGGATGCCTCTGATCTAAAGATATATAACTGTGTCAGTTTACGAGAGGCTAACTTATTGGGGGTCCTACGATTTACAAGCACGAGATAGTTTACATTAAAGAGCGTATGTTAAACTATATTACTAATCTTAGTTCTGTGCTTCAAAACAACTCGGTGGTGAGCCTTGGACAAAAAAAGGAATCTTGAGCGTGTTTTTTCAGAATGAAGTGTGATATGTAAAACTTCCACAACAAGCTTCTTTCTCAAAAAAACTTCACAAAAAAATTTCCAATCTTCAGCTTGCTGCAAATTGTCTTCCAGCTTCCAACATAATTCAATTCAGCAACTTCGAGAATTTTCCCACAATTACATTTCACAACTACCGTAGCTCTCAATTTTTGTTTGATTCACAATGAAGCGATAAGGTAATCAAGAAAGATGAAACACAAAAATGTTTGAAAAAATTGTTAACTTCACTTCACTAAGGTCAAATTATAACTCTTGAAGAGATATCTGTTTTTATAGGAATATTATTTGCATCTATGAGTTTGCTTTTGAAATCTAGCTCTCCAGTAATCTATTTGACTCAAACGGAAGTAAGCAGAGTATCACTGATGTAGCTTTCTACTTGCACAATTGGGGCGACCTCGCGAAGTTTCCCATTGAGGATAGCAAGGTATGTAGTAATCTTCAAGCTTATCACTGAAGTAAATCTGAGCAATTATCGCCACCATTGACTGGTCATAACGATGGCAATGCTCGTCATGTCCACTCCAATATCCACCCTAAACCAAGATTTGTTAAAGAGACTGTATCAAAAAACAATTACTCTCAGGCTGTTCTAATATGCTATTCTTTCAACAGCACGAAAAAAAAATCTAAGGAGAAAAGTAGTACAGCCAACCGAAAACTTGCACAACAAAGTACTCTCAGGAGGTGCAATACAGTCCTTGATCAATGAGCACTGAACCATTCTCTTAAGCAATGTCTTTTTCATGCTTCTGGTGCCAATAAGGAGCATTTTGCCAGCTTCCAACATCTTAGTGACTTTCTAAAGCGCTCATATTTATTTGATGCAGAAATTCTTATTTTCAAACGGTTGCACTCTTAAAAGAGAAAGCGATTTTTGGAAAATATTGCGTTTTTCCTACTGTCTACTATCAACGTGAATTGTAAAAGGTGCTATACTGCTAAAGCTGTCGGGTAGGGCAAGTAATGATACATTCCTGGCACAGTAGCGGCATAAACTGAGTGGCCCAGAGCGCTGCACTGAGCAAACGCTGTGCCCTTTTTCTTCATTTCTTCGAGGTATCCCTTAATAGTTAGCAAACTAAAAACTACACGCTCAGGCA